TATATATACATGCATATATAAGTAAAGCGACAAGCATTGGCCTTGAACTCCCGGTCACAAGATTAGAGGTTCAACACCTAACCCACTGCGCCACACGCTCGTAGAAATATATAAAGAAAACAGGAAACAGAGTAGACTTTTGGAACACAAGTTTATATGAATATTTCAACATATTTCCTTTTCGTTTATTTTTGTACTTCATTTAAGATTATATTATTTTTCACTCTCTGTAATCTTTTTTTTTTCAGAGACGTTTGTAACAACACCAGGTATTTTTCTCATTGATTTTTTTTAAATTATATAATTTAATAATTAATCCTTAAAGTTATTTTACTACTGATAGTAAGGTTATCATTTGCTTGATACCTTCTGTTATTAAAGAAAAATACACTAATTACTGCAATATGTTTGATTAAGTTATAATAATATTTTCAGTACAATATAATGAACCTCTCTGCTAAGCACAGTCTCTTGGATAAATTTTCAAAAAACGAGAGTATAAACATTTGGAGTAGGCGATTTTAACGCAAATTTAACAGTAACATGTGTTACATAGACCTTTTACCTGCTTTTATCCACTCTGAAGTTATGTTACCTTTGTTCTTGCTGCTGTATATTATTAGGTTGTTTAATTATTACTAATATAATTTTTATGGCTATAATTGTTATTAATTTCATTGTTATTCATTATTATCTTTTTTATTATTATATTAACATTATTGTTTGGTACTTATTTATTCTATTATTATTATATTTATGACTTCATTATTTCCTTTAATATTTTTATTTTTTCTTATTTGCCTTGTATTTTTGGTTATTTTTTTTCTATCTTTATTATAATTGTCATCCCTGACAATGACTATATTTATTATTGTTTACTAAAGCTGATCTTGGTTATTTTATTAATCATTTAGGCCTATTTATTTTTTATCATTATTATTTTTTTCTATTATTATTGACTTTATTTTACAACCTACTTACTTAGGCCTCCTTTAGTCTCTGACATTCTATTTTTGCAATTTTGGATACTTTTGAGCTTTTTTATTCCAATTTTTTTTATACTTCTGACTTCCAAAAAAAATTTTTTTTGTAACTGTTGCTATTTTAATTGTTCTTTTTCCTTTGACCAACTTTTTTTTTGTGTGTGTGTTTTATTATGTCAAATGTTAATTGTTGTTGTAACAGCACCACGAGTCCCGACCGATTATCCAACCTATGTTTTTCCCCCTGCATTAACAATTCAGATGATTTTAACTCCAATATAGATCCCGATCCTCATTTATTTTCTAATAACAAACAAAGCATCTCAGAGTATTACGACCCTGATGAGTTCCCTATCACTGAAACATCAAATGATATTTTTTCTACCATTCATTTCAATTCTAGAAGCATTCTAAAAAATTTTGATCAAATGAAACAC